CCCCCCCCCCCGGTCACTCTTGCCTCCCTAAGTTTCCAGGCTCCAGTTCCCTCCCCCAGGCCTGTGGCTTCTCCAGGCCTGGAAAAGGCCTGGGACTGGCCGGAGATGCCTCTAAAGGGAGTACCAGGGACTGTGAGAGGAAGAGCTTCTTGGCCAGGTGAAGGCCAAGTCCAGAGAGGGAGGCAGGGCCTAGAGTTGTTGGGCTGGTCAGGCCTGGAGGAGATCTCGAGTGTTTACCCCTTCAGGTGCCAGCGTCAGGCGCCAGGGAAAGGTTTTTTTGGCTCTGTTCTTGAGTCTTGTGAGAAGCTGGGCAGACCTATTTATGCCTCCAGACTGAGAAAGCCCCACACAGGGAGCCCAGAGTGTGTCCTCCCAGGGCCCTGCAGCACCATATCTGACCTGTCTTCTGGGGCTGCCCCAGGCCTCACTCCCAGCCAGGTACCTCTGTGCCTACAGGGTCCCAAGACCAGGGCTCACAGCTCCCCAGTGGCAGAGAAGCCTCTCTGGGGACAAGGAATGTTGCCCGTCCAGTTTCCCAAGACAGGCCCAGGCCTGGTCCTGATAGGCGCCAGGAACTGGGAGCGAGGGTGGGAATGGTATCCCCTTCCTCCCCAGGGTGACCTGGTCAGCCAGTATCCTCCTGCAGGCAGGGAGGGGTTACCAGTTCCATGGGCCCCTGGGATGAGGCCGCCTAGAGTCTGGGGACAGGGGTTCAGGGAACCGTTGATTTGGGGAGGTCTGGGGGCCAGGTGGTCAGCAAAGCCCGGACCCCCACCTTCCACACTTCCTACCCATGACCGAGTGGGCTGCAGCCCCTCTCGGCCCCTTGGCCAGAGGCCGCCCCTGCCCCAGTGGGGGTTGTGGCTCCCGCTTTTCCCCAGGTAAGAGAGGGAGCTGGGGCCTCCCCGTAGGTTCCCTGAGCCCCACTCTGTGTCCCCTCAGCCGGCCCCTTCGTAACGAAGGTGAAAGAGCTGAGGCTACAGAGAGATGACTTTGAGATCTTGAAGGTGATCGGCCGAGGGGCCTTCGGGGAGGTGAGCAAAAGGCACGGGGTAGGTGGGAGGAGGGGGTTCGCACCCAGGCAGAGCTGACCCCGGGGCTCCCTGTGGCCTCAGGTCGCCGTGGTGAGGCAGAGGGACAGTGGGCAGATTTTTGCCATGAAGATGCTGCACAAGTGGGAGATGCTGAAGAGGGCCGAGGTCAGTGTGGGGTCCGATGGGACTTGCGCACCCTACGAGTGGGGGGGGGGGGGGGGGGGGGGGGGGGGGCGGAGGGTGTGCTGCCAGTGGGGCGTGCAGGGCATGCTGGGGAAGGGGCCGGCCTGGCCCCCGGGACGGGAGAGGATCCAACCACCAGCCTCCCCTGTTGCTTCCCCACAACAAGCCTTTCTTAGAAGCTACTGTAGTTCCCATTTTCCTTACCGTAACACTGAGGCCTGGAGCCATAAGGCACAGGCCGTGGCTCACCCGGGCAACTTCTATCCAAGCTCCTAGACTTACCTAGTCTTCCTCCACCCCCTGAGCTGGTGAGGAGGGCTTCCTGGGCTCTGATCCCACCCCCGCCCCTGCTCCCCAAACCTGCTGCAGACTGCCTGTTTCCGGGAAGAGCGGGACGTTCTGGTGAAGGGGGACAGCCGCTGGGTGACCACTCTGCATTACGCCTTCCAAGACGAGGAATACCTGGTGAGGATACTCAGCGAGGGTGGGGGCCGTTGCCCGGGGACAAAGGAGGAGGGCCTTGGGTGCCAGGGGAGCTGGGTCCAAGGAGAGAGAGACCCTTCCTACAGGGACCAAGAGGCTTCCACTGGCCACCCCTTGCTGGGCCCGGAGCCCCTGCCTGAGCTCTGCTGGGAGCCAGCTGCCCTAGAGCTGCTTGCTGGGAGATGGTCTTGCCTTCCCAGAACCCCTCGGGACCACGAGGAGGTGGGTGGGAGGCAGGGCCCTGGGGCAGATGCCCCCCACCCTCCTCCCTGTCTGATTCTTGCCCCCCCGCTCCCCCCCCCAATCCCATCCAGTACCTGGTGATGGACTACTATGCCGGTGGGGACCTGCTCACTCTTTTGAGCCGCTTTGAGGACCGCCTTCCGCCCGAGCTGGCCCAGTTCTACCTGGCTGAGATGGTGCTGGCCATCCACTCCCTGCACCAGCTGGGCTACGTGCACAGGTGGGGCCCCCGAAGCCCCTCCTGCCCTGACCAGCCCCTGGGGAAAGCTCTAGGGACAGCTGACAGTTGTTGAGCACACTCACCAAGCCCTATGCTGGGTGCTTCATGTGCACGATGCCTTTGAATCCTCAGGCCAAAAACCTCATGTGATGGGCACTGCTCTTGTCCCCACTTTACAGATGAGAAAGTCAGGGTTAGCACAGGTAAGCACCTGGCTTGAGGTGACCCAGCCGGTGGGCGCCCGGGTCGTGGTTTGCACCAGGCAAGTCTGACTCCTGTGTCCCCCACGACATACGCTGCTGCCTCCGTGGCTCATCCTTATGGGTCCCTTTTCTCCACTAACCACCTTTTTCCCTCTTGGCACCCAGGAGGCCTGGCCACCAGCCTTCCCCCTCCCGTGTACATGCACACACACTGGTCTTGTGGACTCGCAGGAACACGTGTGACAGACAATACACACGCTGGTGTGTGCGTGCGCCCATGCACTCATACCCCGGAATGTGCCAGAACACACATCTACACACACAGGTCAAGCCCCGCTCTCTCCCTGTGCTCCCTCAGGGATGTCAAGCCGGACAATGTCCTGCTGGACATGAACGGGCACATCCGCTTGGCTGACTTCGGCTCCTGTCTACGTCTCAACAACAATGGCATGGTAAGACCCCAGAGCAAGGGCTGGGGACACCCAGCCTGGAGAGCTCCCAGGGGTGGAAGGAAGAAGGCCTGGGTCTAGGCCCCAAGTGGGGTCACCAGGCCAGCTAAGCCTTAGAGAGTTGGGGTGTCAGGCCCAGGCTCGGGCCTGTGGTGAGGGGCCATCAGCTCTGGCCAAGCCCAAGGTTATTCTCGTGGCCCCCCCCCACTCCTAGGTGGATTCGTCGGTGGCAGTAGGGACACCGGACTACATCTCCCCCGAGATCCTGCAAGCCATGGAGGAGGGCAAGGGCCACTATGGCCCACAGTGCGACTGGTGGTCACTGGGAGTCTGTGCCTATGAGCTGCTCTTCGGGGAGACGCCCTTCTATGCTGAATCCCTGGTGGAAACCTACGGCAAGATCATGAACCATGAGGTCTGGCCGCCAGGCTCTGGGGTTCCGGGAGGGCAGCAGAGTCCCGAGTCCGCGTGGTTGGTATGCCCGCAGGTGGGGGTGGGATCCTGTACACCCACCTGCACCCCTCCACCCCACCCCCACCCCCCACCTACAGGACCACCTGCAGTTTC